GGGGGGTGGTTTCGTTCTTGGCCATAGTCAGGGAGTGGGAATTCGGAGCCCTCCAGGTTGATAGCAACTGCTTTCTCCCGCGCCCCACGTGACCCAACTGGGCTCCCCGGAGCTGCACTTAGACCCAGTCTAAACAAAGGGCTCTCACCTCTTCTGGTCTTCCTTCAGGCCAAAGTATAACATAAATTAAAATTATAACGATTTTTTTTAAAAAGAGCGACCAGCTCCCCACCCCCAAATTCATTTTACTTCCTTTCTGTGAGCTTTAAAGTGTGCATTTATAACCAGCAAACTGTAATACAGACTGTAAACACATATGTGGAGTCCTGATCAAATCAAAAGAGCAGGGAGCCAGGTTAGACAGGTACGTGGTTTGAGAGTTGGCAGCCTGCGGGCCCACCCCCGCCCCGCACGTGACCCTGGGCAGTGCTCCCTGTTCCCGCACGGGGCTGCCCGTCACCCAAGGTCTGGCACACCCCATCGAACATCTGTTAGGCGCCATCTCGGGCACTTTTATTAAGTTACAGCCGGATAAGCTTGGCGTCGCAGTAGCGCCCTCCACCCCGACACTCTTAATGTTCTTTTGCTTTATTGAAATATGGGCGTGGAGGGCACCCAGGATGATACATTCCAAAGGTATTGCCCAGAGCGACAGCAGGAGGCACGGGCGCCCTCTAGTGCAGCGAGCGGCTGACTGAGGCCTTGTGCTTGTTCCCCACTCCTCAGGCGCTGAGTCAGTGGGCCTTCCGAAGGGATCGCTGGAGCCCATCCACCCGACAAGGGTGGGGTGATGTCCCGCCCGGCCTGGAGGATATGTGGGCAGAAGGAGGCCATGGCACCAGGGACCAGGAGCCCCACCTGCCGGCCCCCAGCGCCGCCTTGCACGCTTTGTGCAGCCTTGGCATCTGCGTGCACGCGCGCGCACGCGCGCACCTCCGGGTAGGAGGGAGCCCCGTGCAGGCGGGTCTAGGGGCCGCCTCAACAGGCCCTGCTGGCAGACCCGCCTCGGGCTCCAGCACGTGGCAGTGACTAGAGTGGTGTCCCCGGCTCTGCCTGGGGAACCAGACTGAAGGGTAGCCAGGCATGCCCCACAAAGGGAGGGTGTGTAGGCTACCGAGGAAGGAAGGAGGACCCACACCCTGCAGGCCCTCCCTAGGACGGCCCCTTCTTCAGGGTCTTGGTCAGCATGTAGCTCAAGCCTCCTGTGGACATGCTGTGCTGGCTGGTCTTAGTAGCATGTGCCTGGAAGTAGCCTGAGGCGGCTCAGGGAACAGTCCAGGTGCCAGGTCACTCTGGCAGGGACCAGGGCCCCAGGCCCCAGGTTGGAAGGAGACCAAGGGGGCAGCTGCCCTGGAGGAGTACCAGGGCTTCCTCTGACCCCAGCTCTGCCCCTGCACTGTTCCCTGTTTCCACCAACCTCGTCGCCAAAGTTGCTGCCCCGGCTATTGATTCCCGCTTCTTCCAGAGAATAAAACTGGTTTCTATTTTACGTTACAGCTTTGTCCCGGCCTGTTTCTTAGCATCTTGGTCAGCCGCTTGAGGCCATTTGCAAAGCTCTCCAAGCCATGTGGCCCCGGCTGCAGCAGCGCCGCTGGAGGCAGGGGGAGGGAGTGCAGAGGCGTGAGGCCTGACTCCTGCCTGACTTAGCCACTGACCCTCATGGCCCACGGGTTTTACTCCCCAAGAGGACGGACAGGAAGGAACTCGGTGAGCTGCCGCAAACCCCAAACTTCAGTGACTAAGAAGGCTTCCCATATGAATCCGTGTTTTAATTTATTTTCAAGGAATCATATATTTACACGGCTCTAAATTCTAGGGAGGGACTGTGTAGATGACATGGGTGCAACACAGCCTGTTGGTTACTGTCATTGGGTGACACGAACTGGATGCCAGCACACCTCAGCCCCGGGTGACAGCAGAACTGCCCCAGAGGGCTTTCTAGGCTGGAATCTGAGAGCACGTCCCCAAGTTTTCCATCTGCAGAGCCGCAGGGTGGGTGCAAACCACCAAGCTGTTTACTAGCAGACAGGTGCTCAACCGTTGAGCTGTGTGCGAGCTGCTTGTAATCTTTTGACCAGTCCTCTCTTGACGAAGAGACGTTTGGTTGTTTCCAATCCACTTGGAGTAGCAAGCACGTATGAGGGCGGTTTTTTTTCACGGACAAGTCAACCTGAGCGATGAATCTGAAGAAGTGGAAATCCTGGGTCAGAGTATCCCCCCGGGGGCCTGCTCACCCACCTCCAGTGCTCACTCCCACCGGCCCGTGAGTCCTGCTTTGTCTCCAGCTTGACGTGGTGCCAGGCTTGTGGGAGGGAAACGGTTTGTGTGGTTGTTTTTTGCGATATTTTCCCGTGTATTTGGTGAAAGTTTACCCAGCAAGTTAAATTCCCACCTGACAGCTTACACACACATTGCTCAGTGACGTCAGTACAATTTCCACAGTGTGCCAACATTTGTTCTTGTGTCCCGGTTGTGTCCGCGTAATTCTAACTTACGTTCCCTTTCGAAAGAGCATTGTCAAGTAACAAAATACACACGACGTCTGGCACTTAAGCGACGTTCCAGGTACGACTGCGGCATTGACCACGGCCGTCGTGGTGTGCTCCGTTCGCGTAATTCTTCCGTGCAGTTTAGCAATAAACACAACCCACCGTCCTCTCTGCCGACAAGCCCATGCCGACTCCTAGTGACCTGGGGACAGGGTAGAACTGCCCCTGTGGGTTTCCGAGACTCACTCCTTTTTTTTAACAATTTTTTTTTCAAATGTCGGATTTCTTTATTTCAAATGTGCACATTATCGTGTTCATTTAAATACAAAAGGTTCGTTCCTTTTTTTTGACAATTGTGTCAACACACATACACTGTTCAGTAGTTGAAGTGTACAAGAAGAGGGTATAATCATTACCACAATCCGTTTGAGAACATTTCCTCTTTCCTGTACTCCTTAGCACCCCATTTCCCTCTAACCTCCCCTGCCATACCCTTAAGGAACCCCTTAGTCTACTTACTGCCTCTAGATTTACCTGTCCTGGATTTCATATATGGAAACACACAACGGTAAAACAAAAACCTCAATCAAAAAGGACGTAGGAAATATTGAAAACTAGAACTGATTTAAAACGGGTCAAGAGGGAGATCAAGGATAAGGTGTTAAATTTTAACCTGACCGCATCTGCAATCATCGCTTTCCAGTGCACTTCCCATGACCACGAGGCTGTTCACATCGCTGCTCTGTGGTCAGAAGGGATTTGCCGGAGGCTTAATCCATGTGGACTTACCCTTTACATTTTTTTAAAAAACCAACAACTAGTTGGTTTTTTGAAAATCATTTTATTGGGGGCTCTTACAGCTCTTATCACAATACATACATACATGTGTCAAGCACATTTATACATATATTGCCATCATCATTTTCAAAACATTTTCTTTCGACTTGAGCCCTTGGTAACAGCTCATTTCCCCCCTCCCCTCCCCTCCTTGAGCCCTTGATGATTTATAAAAAAATGTTTTCACATCTTACACCGACCACTGCCCCCCTTCCTCACTTTTCTGTTGTCCGTCCCCCTGGGAGGGGCTATATATAGATCATTGTGATCGGTCCCTCCTTCTCCCCTCCCCCTCCTGGTATCGCTACTCTCATTACTGGTCCTGAGGGGTTTATCTGGATTCCCTGTGCTGTGAGCTCTCTTACCTGTATCAGTGTACATGCTCTGCCAGATTTGTAAGGTAGAATTGGGGTCATGATAGTGGGGGGGCAGGGAGAAAGCATTAAAGAACTAGAGAAAAGTTGTATGTTTCATTGGCGCTATACTGCACCCTGATTGGCTCTTCTCTTCCTTGTGACCCTTCTGTAAGGGGATGTCCAATTGTCTACAGATGGGCTTTGGGTCTCCACTCTGCCCCCCTCCCCCTCATTCATATCCATATGATTTTTTTTTGTTCTGGGTCTGAAACAACTTTTAAATGGGGTTTTAAAGGGAGATCAAATGATAATATATTACATTTTAACCTTACCATGTCTGCCATAGTCAACTTTACAATTATCTCTGTCTGATAACAAAGCTATTCACATCCCTCCACTATGGTCAAGGGGGATTCACCTGAGGCTTAATCTGTCTGTGAACTCTGCAACTGGATTTTGGGTTTCTACTGTCATCCATAGCCATCTGAAAACCAGGTGTTCACAATTTAAGCTCTAATGCCATTTCCTTTTTTGGATTTCAGTTATACTCTTTATAATCCTTGGATCACACAGACTGGTGTGCTTCTTCCATGTGGACTTATTTGATGCCTCACTAGATGGTTGCTTGTTCGAATCCAAGCCTTTAAGTCCCCAGACATAACCAGGCACCACCTAGTTTCTTTACTACACTTTACTACGGCACCCATACCTTCAGTGATTTCTTCATGAGGGTGAGCATTAAGCAGGGACATGCCATAAGAAATAATTGTTCTTAGATTGGGGCTAGAACTAAGTGCAAGCCCCAAATTCATTCATATAGCTATGGTTTATCTCTGGTTCACCTTAGAGACATCATTGTCATTTTATGTTAGAGAATGTTATCAACCATCTCCCTGAGACAAAAGATAATTCTATTGATAGCGTCATTAATTTAGCCAACGATGTAGAACTTAAAACACAGTTGATATGAATAAGCACTTTTGAATTTGTTTCTACTCAAGCCTCTGTAAACCATACCATGGACTAAGCATAATGATGACCTTAGACACTGGCCTTATGGGGAATATGGCATCCCCGACAGGCCACACCAGAAGGACTTGACGGGAAAACCCATCAAACAAACTGGGCCCTACCTCAAAACTACTTGTAGCCCTTGGACTTCAGACTGAAATTCCCTGATGAGAGAAAAAGCAAATAACAGCTTCCTCAAACCTGTGGGATTGGTGGTCATTGGACTTGGTTACGATCCCTGTCTTAGAGGTTGTCCAATGAGCGGGGACCCAGAGCCACCATATATTTACTATCCCAATGCCCTCTTCACATTAATATGATGTGTTAATCTGAAGGACAAGGATCTTCCCTTGTAAAGAATGTTATAGGGACATTTCCACTAGCACCAACCCCCATGCTCAAAGTCAGCAAAGCTCAATCATAAGAACAACTCATGGATTTCAGTTTGCAACTGGATTATACTTGCATACCCTTCTTTTCTCCAAGTACCTTAAGTCCTATGCCTTTGGAGAAATTATTGATGTTATCAATGGAATCATTGATTGATAATGTGCTTTTATTTTATCATAAAATTATAATAAGACCACTAAGGTAAACCAGAGTCCTACCTAGCCTGGGACAAGCAGATGGATTCTGGACTCCCACTTAATTCTAGCCCCAGTCCAAGAACAATTAGTTTTTATAACATGGACTGGCTCAATACTTGCCTTCATGATGTGATCATTGAAGATAAGGGTGCTACAGCAAAGTGTGGTGGAGAAAGCAGAGATAGGGACTGGCCATCAATTGGAACAGTGTCTGGGGTCTTAAGGGATCATGTTCAAACAAGCAGGCATATAAGTGAGGAGTCAACTAAGTCCACGCGGAAGAAGCATAACATCCTATGTGATCCAAGGATGGTCAATAACAAAATGCAAATATGATGAAGAGAAAGGTATCAAAGCTCCAGTGTGAACACCCAATTTGTAGAATGCTCTGGGGGACGGTGGGAGTCCCCAATGCACCTGCAGAGTTCCTAGTCGGATTGAGCCTCTTGCAGATCCCCTCTGGTCACAGTCGAGGGATAAGAGCAGCTTTGCTTCCCGACAGGGATTATTGTAAATTTGACTCTGGTGGATGGAGCTGTGGAATATGATACCTGGCCAGTTGACCTCCCTCTTGACCCAAACTGAATTTGTTCTAGGTTTAAATATTTCTCGATTATTCCATGACTGAGATTTTCTCTCTGGCTTATGTTAATATTGCTGGTGGTCATTTCTCCCTTTCTCTGTATTTTATTCTTATTTTATCTGTTTTTGTTGTTGTTTATTGTTTCTGATGTTTCCCAGTTTATGAAACACAGAAGGATTGGATGCATAGAGGCCATTGCTGATGTAATGCATCATTGGGGATGGGGGAGCTTGAGGGAGATTGGGGGACAAACAATGACTGCCGGAGCGGGGAGGGTGCACGAGGACTGATTGTGATGATGTATACACAACTTTTTATTTTTTTATTTTTCTTCTGACAGTATTTCTTTTTTTTTTTAAACATTTTTTTAGGGGCTCATACAACTCTTATCACAATCCATACACACATCAATTGTATATTCTCATTCTCAAAACATTTTCTCTCCACTTAAACCCCCGACATTAGGTCCTCATTTTTTCCCCTCCCTCCCCGCTCCCCCCTCCCTCATGAGCCCTTGATAGTTTATAAATCGTTATTCTGTCATATCTTGCCCTGTACGACGTCTCCCCTCACCCACTTTTCTGTTGTCCGTCCCCCAGGGAGGAGGTCACATATAGTCCCTTGTAATTGG